CCACCACAGCACATCAAACTATTGGCTCAACTGCCTGTGTCCTCTTCCCGTCTTCCCATCTCCCCATTGTGATCTATTATTAAAAATCAACTTCCAGCCCTATCCACTGTCTAGGTGGTGATGCCAATTTGGCATCATATCTTGAGCCAGGCCTGCTATCCCCTTCTTTGGCAGCTTAGGACAGAGATGTAGTGACTTGCTCACTGTCACAGACACATATGCAAGTGAAGTGGTGATAAACACTAAACTGTAAACTCCTTGAAAAAAAAAAATACTGGCCTCTACTTCCGTCTCTGTTGCTACATGATTTCTTTCTTTTTTATGGCTGAATAGTAACCTGTTGAGTATCCAGTCCTCTACTGATGGACACTTAGGTCAATTCCATATTTTTGCTATTGTGAATAGTGCTGTGATAAACATGAGAGTGCAAGTATCTTTTTTATTTTTTATTTATTTATTTATTTATTTTATTTTTTGAGACGGAGCCTCAAGCTGTCCCCTTGGGTAGAGTGCCATGGCATCACACTCAAGCGAGTCTCCTGCCTCAGGCTCCCAAGTAGCTGGGACTACAGGTGCCCGCCACAACGCCTGGCCATTTTTTGGTTGCAGCCATCATTGTTGTTTGGCGGGCCTGGGCTGGGGATTTGAACCCGCCACCTTAGGTGTATGTGGCTGGTGCCCTAGCCGCTTAAGCCACAGGCGTCGAGCCAAGTATCTTTTTTATATAATGATTTCTTTTCCTTTGGGTGGATGGATACCCAGTAGTGGGATTACTAGGTCAAGTGGTAGATCTACTATTAGTTCTTTGAGAAATGTTTATACTGTTTTCTATAGAAATTGCATGGGCAGCGCCTGTGGCTCAAAGGAGTAGGGTGCTGGCCCCATATGCCTGAGGTGGTGTGTTCAAACCCAGCCCTGGCCAAAAACAGCAAAAAAAAAAAAAAAAAGATAGAAATTGTACTAATTAGCGTTTCCACCAACAGAGTCCCCTTTTCTCTGCATCCTCACCAACATTTGTTTTTTTGTCTTTTTAGTAATACCCATTCTTATCAGTATAAGAAAATACTGATTTGTTTTCATTTGCATTTCTCTATGATAGTGTTGTTGAACATTTTTTCATATGCTTTTTGGCTGTTTTGTCTTCTTTTGAAAAATATCTGTGTCCTTAGACCACTTTTTTTTGTTTGTGTTTTTGGAGACAAAGTCTCCCTCTCTTGCCTGGGCTAAAGTGCAGTGGCATGAACATAGCCCACTGCAATGTCAAACACTTGGGCTCAAGTGATTCTCCTTGCCTGTGACCCTCTCAGCCTGTGGAGTAGCTGAGACTACAAGTATGTACTGCCATGCATGATTAATTTTCCAATTTTTTGTGGCGATAAGGTCTCATTCTTGCTCAGGCTGGCCTCAAGTAATCCTCCTATCTCAGTCTCCCAAAGTGCTAAAATTACAACTATGACCCTCTGTGCCCAATCTTTACCTCACTTTTTAATAGAATTATGTATTTATTTATTTTTTTGAGACAGAGTTCACCATGTTGCCCTCAAAATAATCCTGAGCCAGGATTATTTTGTTGTTGTAGTTGAGTTTTTTGAGTTCCTTGGAAATTCTGAAGGAATTGGTCCCATTAGATGTATAGTTTGCAAATATTTCTCCCATTCTGCAGGTTGTCTCTTCGCTCTGTTAATTATTTCTTTTGCCATGCAGACAAATATGAGTCCCATTTGTCTGTTTTGTTTTTGTTGCCTGTGATTTTGAGATCTTAGTCATGAATTCTTTGTCTTGAGCAGCGTTTTTTTAATCTTTTTTTAATCTCACAGCACACTTTAACCAATAGTTAAACTTCTGTGGCACACTTAAATTATGTTGACCAAAAAATAGTGAAAAAAAAAGGAATATACTATCTGTGCTTTGAACTTCTTTCGAAAGTAATTTAATTAAATGTATAAAAAATTTTGCAACCCCCCTAAAGTCCTTTCATGACACACCAGTGTGCCACTGGTCTAGACCAATGTCCAGAAGAGTTTCCCCTGAGGGCTCAGCACCTGTGGCTCGGCACCTGTGGCTCAAGTGGCTAAGGCGCCAGCCACATACACCTAAGGTGGT